CCTATGATATTTCTAACCCACCCTCTTATTAAGGAAATCAAGGGTATATTGTCAAGCCGAAGGCTACAGAAAAAACATGAAGTCAACACAAAATGTGGTCCCATGCGTTCATCATCACGCCAGGACTGGTGCAGAGCATTACACTAGCCGGCTGCACTGTAAGGGGGGGCAACTCTTCTGTTATAGTGAAGAGGTGACTTACAATATTAAGTTTTAACAATGTTCTTAATCTGTGAGAATTTTCATACATACCAACATATCGGATAAATATGGCAAACCACATGCTCAATTATTTGGTTTAAAAATCTGGTTAGCATAATCAAAGTAACCAGCTGGAGGTTTGGTTTAAATGTCACTATGCTGCAGGTTGTGGAGAATGGTAGTCCTAACCTCATAAGCTCCCTCTGCCTTTTCTTTTTTTTTCCTTAAAGATTTCATTTACTTATTTGAGAGAAGAGAGAGAGAGAGAAAGCATGAGCAGGGGAGAGGGAGAGGGACAAGCAGACTCCCTCCTGAGTAGGGAGCCCAATTCGGGACTCGATACCAGGACCCTGGGATCATGACCTGAGCTAAGGCAGATACTTAACCCACTGAGCCACCCAGGTGCCCCAGCTCCCTCTGCTTCTTCTTTTTTTTAAGATTGTATTTATTTATTCGACAGAGAGAGAGAGAGAGGGATCACAAGTAGGCGGGGGGGGGGGGGGGGGGGGAAACAGGCTCCCCACGGAACGGAGAACCCGACGCGGGGCTCCATCCCAGGACCCTGGGATCATGACCTGAGCTGAAGGCAGAGGCTTAACCCATTGAGTCACAGGTGCCCCAGCTCCCTCTGCTTCTTAAAGAGAGAAGCAAATGCATGGTTGTAATAATTGGAGGACATCTCTGCATTGCGCAGGCAACAGTCTCTAGGAATCAGTATACTCCAAGGACACTTTGTGTAAACAATAGTACACAGGTGTTTGTTGCATACAACTGCACTAGTTGCATAAAACTCCTGACAAGATGGCAACAGAACACGGTGATAGGGCTCACACCTGGCTAAACCCTGAAAAGCTTTTCTAGCTAATAACGTGGGTTATAAGAACTTGCTTTTGGTAGGTGAGAGAAGCGCAGAGGGAGAGGGAGAGAGTGAATCCCAAGTAGGCTTTATGTCTAACAGATCTGGACACCCAGCTTGATCTGACCATCAGAGATCATGACCTGAGCCAGCATGGAGTTGGATGTTTAACCAGCTGAGCTGCTGAGGTGCCCCAAGAACTTTCTATGTTCACATTTTAAGTATCTAACTTCAATCTTCGGAAAATTCATGAAGTTGCATGGTTCCTATCACTAGAAGTGTTTAAACAGAGGCAGAATAATCATTTACAGTAGCTTCATAAACAGGATTCAAGCATCAGCTGAAGAGGATGGGGGATAGGATGACCATATTAGAGCTATAGTCTCTTCTGATTATGGCAATGGTATGATGATTATGACCTTTTCTCCTTTATGCTACCTTAATCATGTGATACCAGGACAATGCAGGTGGTGATGAGGGAAATAAGCCACTGAGGAATCCTTTCTAAATCTCTACCATACTCTCCCTTCTCCAATTGATGTAAAAAATCTTTTTTTTTTTTTAACTAAAATGACTGTAGTTTGTAAATGCTTATTTAATTTTCCCATCCACTATAGGGCCTTTAAGAAACCATTTCTTGCTTCAGAAGCAAAAAAGGAATTTTAATTTTGATTAAATATTTACTAGTAAATCCACAATGAAAGAAAATAATTCAGAAGATGTGTATTTCCTACAATATGTAAAAAAGGAAAAATATTTTGTAAAATATCATACTTTAGCATGTGTAGATATGTATATTTTTCTCTTCTAATCATAAAACTCACCTTAGCTCAGCATAGTACCGTTTGGTGGGTCTAGAAAAACCACAATTTCGTTTTTGAAACATTCAATGTAAAGTTCAGAGAAGCAAGCAGTACTTTTAAGAAGAATTAAAAAAAAAGATGCAACCACAAACAAAATAAAAAAAACCCTATGACTGCACAGTGAAATATTTTAAGAATTTCTAAGCTTTCTCATTCCTCTTTCTTCAGGGAGGTACACAAATGAATCAAGACACAGTACTGGCCCAGATATAGTACTGGGGAAGTAATTTTTTTATTATTTATAATACAGCATGGAGGGGCACCTGGGTGATTCAATCAAGTAAGCCTCCAACTCTTGGTTTCAGCTCATTCCATGATCTTGGGGTTGTAAGATCGAGCCCTGAGTCCGGCTTTGAGCTCAGTGCAGTCTGCTTGTCCCTCTCCCTCTGCTTCTCCCTACGTGCTTGCTCTCTCTCTCAAATAAATTAAAAAAAAAATTTTTTTTAAAGAAAAATTTATAATACAGCATGGAGATGGCTCAGTTGGTAGAGCATGCAATTTTTTGGTGAAGACTTTATTTATTTTGGAATTAGACAGAGAGCACAAGCAGTGGGGAGAGGCACAAGCAGACTCTGTGCTGAGCGCAAAGCCCAACGCGGTGCTCCATCCCACCACTCCAAGACCACAACCCAAGCCAAAATGAGGAGTCAGACACTCAACCAACTGAGCTCCCCAGGTGCCCCTACGCATGCAACTCTTGATCTCGCCCTATGTAGAGCTGAAGCTTACTTAAAAATATATACAGCATGAAATATTTATAATACTACCAAAATATGTCACTCCAACTGATAGGCAAATTGACCTTGTATGAAGAAACCTGCTGTTTCACCTCTCAACATTTCATCTGCCATAAACTGGAGCAGAGGCATCAATGAAGTGAAAATTATTGATTAAAAAATAACAATCATACACTGCAGTGGTTGACAGGATTTAGAAGTTAAAACTGACCCAAGTCTGAATCCTGGCTGTCCTACTCACTGGCTGTATGGCTTTAGGCTACTCAATTTTAACCTTCTAGGCCTTCGATTCCGTATCTCCAAAATATAATAGTTACCTCCAAGGGTTGTAAAGATGAAACACAAGCAAAGCACTCGGTACAACACCCGGCACAAAATCACCGTTCAGTAAGTGTTGGTTGGCTATTTTTGCTATTATTTCTGCAAACTGGGCAGAGAACCTCTCTAAAGTAGTGCCCAGGCCCATCTCACAGAGCAGCAAAGGGTTTGGTCACATGCAACCAACCCTCTGAGCTTTTGCACCTTTTAGTTTCTGCACGGGGCACCTCTATCATCTGGACCTGAGCCGTCCAAAAACAAGGGCCACTAGTCCACAGGTGGCTAAGGAACCTGTGAACTCTGTCTAGTTAGAACTGAGGCCTTTTGTCAAGGTAAAACACACATTCGATTTCGAAGACGCTATGAAAAAAAAAAAAAAAAGTAATTGGGGCGCCTGGCTGGCTCATGCGGTCTAGAGCAGGCTGCTCTTGATCTCGGGGTTGTGTGTTCAAGCTCCTTGTTGGACGTAAAGCTTACTTAAAAAAAAAAATCAATAAATACAAGAATTTATAATATTTCAATTTTATGGTATCTGATTATGGGTTGAAATGATAAATTTTGGATGTATTGGCTTAAACGAAAGTGCCTCGCATTACACCTGCATTGAGCAGAGCTGATGCAGAGAGAACACCCGGTTACTCAGAACCGGGACTAGCCGCTCCCGGGAGCTGGTGAGAAATGCAGAGTCTCGGGCCCCGCCCAGACCTACCAATTCAGCAACTGCACTTCAACATGATTCTGAGCCGTACCTCCGGAATTTTTCGCTGTTTCTCTTAAGTGGGCAAACCCGACCGTATAATCACGTAAACGGGAATACCCTTGCTTTGTGTATGGTTCACCGATAAAGGAAAGCGAAGGAGGAAAAAGCGGTTGTCAGAGAAGGAGTACGAGAAAAAGAAAAAGAAACTCAAATTCTAGGAACAAAAAGAAAGCTGGGGGTTGGGGGGGAGGAATCCAACCTGGGAGTTCAGTGGAAGGGAACTTCGATTTTTGCTTCTATAAATGCAGAGGGAGATGCAAACTGAGAGAAAACCTACCATCCAAACCTGCAAGGATCAGGAAATAGTCAAGTCTTTCCCGCCCCTCAGCGGCCTCAGCTAAGCTAGGCCTGGGCCCGACGCGGTCTGGCGTTGGTGTGCAACGCCAACCACCATGCATCCCAGGGCTGCACGGTTCCGCGAGGCGTCCAAAGCCGAAAGCCCCGCTTCCCAAGACACAGAACCCGGGTCCGGGGGCTCACCTGACTCTGAGCTGCCCCAACGGCCTGCGTCTTCGCCACCGCCACCTTGGAGTCCTTTTGCAGAGGGCCCGCCCCCGCTTGCCCAGGCGCTGCTCCCATTGGTCAGGTGGCTCGTCACTCCTGGACCGAGGCTGGGGAGAACGCCATAGCAACCGAACTCGGAACTACATCTCCCGGAATGCTCCGCCAGGTGGAGAAGGGTGGAGCCCGGGGCTACCAGTAAATGGGCGAAATTGTAGTCTCTCGGAGAGATTCCGTTTTATGTAAATTTCTGTTAAAGACCACACCCTTCCTTATTCCAACCGTTTGCCCGACCACCTAATCTGGACTGTGACCGCCTCCTTTTCCCTCTACGTTGTTCTCTCCTTTAAGACCTTTTGTGACTAATTTAGTTGAGTGCCTCCTAACCAGTGCCTCACACGACAACGGGCAGATGGACCAAAATCGTGAAACAAAATCTCCATAAACCCCGTCAGGGAAATCCCAGACCAGAAGCTTTTGGTGACGCCTTCTGGGAAGGGGGCGGGGAGACAAGGCCGTCCTCCCGCCCACACCCTTTGCGCTTGCTGATTGGTTCCTTCGGCTGTCACTCCGTCCTCTTCCATCTTTTTTTAATTGCCCCCTCCCTCTCTCCTGCGGTGGGCGGGTGTAGCGGTAGGGGGCGGTGAGGAGGTGCGGGCCTCTTCTCCCGATTGGCCGACTGTTCGTTCCCACCCATCTGTGGGCGGAGATGGAGGGGTGGAGGAGGGCGGGAGAGGCTGCGCAGGGAGATGAGGAGATAGGTGGGAGCGAGGGAGCGAGGGAGGGAGCGAAGGAGGTAGAGAAGAGCGGAGGAGAGGGGAGGGAGCGCAGCTTGGTTGCTCCGTAGTACGGCGGCTCGCGAGGGAGAATCCCGAGCGGGCTCCGGGACGCACGGGCCGGCGGGCAGGCGGGCGGGGATGGTGTGCGGGGCTGCGGCTCCTGCGTCCCTCCCCGCGGCGAGTGAGCTGCACTGATTTGTCCCTGGGGCTGCAGCGCGGACCCGCCTGGAGATGAGGTGAGGAGCGGGCTGGACGGCGACGGCCTGGACGGGGAAGCGGCGGGGGCGGGGGTCGGCGCGGGGGTCGGCGCGATGGCCGCCCGGGGCGCCCGTCCCTCGGGCTGGCGCGAGTCCCGCGGGCCGCCCTTCAGCCTTTGCCGCGCGCCCCGGAGGCGCGGCACCGGCGGTCCCTGCGCCTCGTCCTTCCCCATCCTCCCGGGGGTGGCGGCGGGGCGGCCGGCTGGCCGGCGCTGGGAGGCCGGGGCGCCGGGACGCCGCGGCGGGCCGAGGGGGTGGCGGCCGTGGACGGGCTTCGGGCTGAATGGGCGTCCGCAGCCCCGGCCGGCCGAGCGGGGTCGCCTCCCTCCCCAGGGGGCGTGGGGGCGGTCGGCCCTTCCAGGGCTGACCTCCCTGCCCTCGGCCGCCTGAGCGTGGCGGGCTGGCCAAGCCTCGCCTCCCCGCCAGCCTCTCGGGGACCCGGAGCTCGCGGGGAGCGGCATCGCGCCGCCGCCTCTCCCTCGGGCCTCGAGTCCCCGGCTCATCTCTTTCTCTCTGTCGCGTGCCTGCAAAATCGCTGTCAGTGAAGGGCAGTCAATGCCGCTCGGCCCTGAGTCGTCCGGCCGGGGCGGACTCTGATGGCATTTAGCAGAAAGCGGCTCTCCTTTCGGTGGGAGCGCGTCCCCGGGGTCCGCCGCGGCTCGTTCCCTTTACGCACCGACGCGGTCTTGCGGTGTGGACCCAGGGCACAATTGCGGGCTCTGCTTGCTTGACGAGGAAATGCAATAATCAGAATCCCCAGGAAAAGGAAACCGACGAGGAATGGGTCGCACCTTCCTTTACTTCTGTTGGCCGTGGGATCAGAAAACAACTTCGCAGATAACATTTCCTGTGGGCATCTTTTGTTGGGATTCAGACTAAAGAAGGCTTTGCTTTTGAAGAAATAAATTAGCGTCTTTTTCTGTTGAGTGGGAGGCTCTGGAGATTTTTGGTAGCCTCTTAATATGAAAGTTTCCTTTAGAACTTTGCCATCATCACTGCTATTCTGAAGGCAGCACCAGCCTGGAATTTTAAATATATGCGCACTCCGGACAGATGCGTTTCTTTGTGCTTATCTCCTGGCATCCTACTCTTGCTGTTTCTGTGCTCAAACGTACAAATAATAAAAGCAAGTACAGTAAAAAGAACAGATTAAAAAAGAATACCATACAAACAGATGCATCTGGAACAGCCTCCATTCCGTTAACGAAAGGCAGTGTTACTAATCCCTTTGAACGGATGATCAGAGGTCTCATGGATTAGGTAGTGGACAGGATCTGAGATTAGGAACTAGAGCCAGGACCCAGCAGGCCAGATGACTTGTGAAGTGCTACTCTTAACCTCTAAAATGGGAGGAATGTATTTGTCTGGGTACCTTTATTTTTAGATGATTTAAGGTGCAGAAACTTAAAACCCTCCCCCAAGGTTAGGATTTCTCTCTCTCTCAGAACAAAATGCTGTGTTTTTCTTTAAAATTATTTTTCTAGTTTACGTGACACAGTTATGTTGTACTGATGGGTGTTTGCTTATTATAACTAAAAATGCACATATTTATAATATGGAAGGGAATTTTTTTTTCAGTAGGAGGTTGGTAAAGAACCCAGGATCTTTTAAGTAATCTAAATTGCAAACGAGGGACACATTAAAACTATTTAAAACTAACTGAAGTAGTTCCACTAAGGAACATTTCTGATAGTTTTTTTTTTTTTTTAATGGCATTTCTTTATCTAAGAATGTATCTGTTGAAATTGCTGAGGCCCCGTGGCACCTTCACAATACTCTATTATTATTATTCTGCCTGAGTAGGAGAGGAAATGAACAAATTTTTGATGTACTTTGGAACCCTGTGGATTGTTCAGATACTAAGCATTGTGAAATAGGGCATAAAATGAGTGGTAGCAAGTTAGTTCCGTGAAATGTTTGTCCCTCTTAGCATTTTTTTTTTTTTTTGCAGTTGACTAGAAATTTATTTTTTCTTAATGTTTATTTCTTCTGTTGGTAGGACTTAAGTTCATCTTTTCATCAAATGCCTAGATGGAAGCAAATTCAAATCTCCCATAAGACATTAAGGAGGAGGTGCTAGTAAATGACTCCATTCTTACTCATCTTTTTAATTTGCTGGATTTGTGAATTATACAGAACTAATTACATGAGGGTTGGGTTTATGTTACTCAGTTCAAATTCCACTGCTGTAGAGCTATTCTCTTCTGAATGATCATTTTCTTTTGAAGGGCTCCACTTACTGGTAGGTTTCTCAAAGTCTGGACCTCAGATCACTTAGATCAGCATGAAGTGAAGTTCTTGTTAAAAATAGAGGTTTTTTTTTGTCACCTAACCTCAGAATCAGACTCCTGGAGGTGGGGCCCTGGAATAGGTTTTGTTTTTTGTTTTTTGTTTTTTAAGATTTGATTTAATTTTGAGAGAGAGAGAGCATGAGATGGGTGGGAAAAGGTCAGAGGGAGAAGCAGACTCCTTGCAGAGCTGGGAGCCCGATGCCAGACTCAATCCCAGGACTCCCAGACCAGGACCTCAGCCAAAAGCAGTTGCTTAACCAACTGAGCCACCCAGGCACCCTGGAATCGGTTTTTTTAAACAACTTCTCCAGGTTCTCCTGGGATAGTAAAGTTGGCGAACAGTTGATGCTCTGTTTCCCTCTTGCTAAGCATCTCCTAAGATCATCTCCTGAAGTGGATGGCAGATATTTTAAATAACAGACTAAGTTTTATACCTTAGGCTGCTAATAAAAAACGGACTACAACCTTCAGGTACATAATGCACTTACAATAAAGGTTTCAGAAGAGTAGGGATTTTGAGTCATCATTCTATCTCCAGTGCTAGAATAATGCCTGGAGGAACTCCATTAAATATTTATGAGTGAATAACATGGCAGTGAGGCCACATTTTAAAACCTTTTCTTGTAAAATTAATCTTATTACTTAGTCAGTGATTTTATAAATTAGGAGCTGCATGCACTATGCCCAGTCATTTCTGTAAGTTTGGTTGGCTCTGAAAAGAGAGAACCTTTCCCAAGCATAGATTGCTCAAGGCGATTAAGCTGGAGAGAAGGCTCCTATCAAAATACTGCTTAGAGACTCAAAATGTAAATTTAAGTCACAGTGTAGTGGTAAATTACTGTGTTACCGCTATTTTCAAAATACCATTTTTTAAGCTATGGTAAACCCAAATAATGCTGTAAAAATTGGTTTACAAAAAAATGCAGAAAATTGTCATGTTTTCCAGTTTCATTTTTCCTCCTAATAAAATACGGCCTTCATTCCTTTCTTTCAGACTCCAGTGTAGGGCCCCATAAATAATAGTTTCTGTTACATAGTTGAGGGTGCTGAACAGTTAGGAGTAAAATTTCTAGAGGATACTGGGTTTGACCCCATAGTCTGTGACTTTTATCTACTCTAACATTTCAGGGTCTCAGTCTTTTCAGCAGAATGGGAATAATAGTAAGTAGGTTAAGTTTAAATACTTCAGAGTGCTTACATAAGTTCTTGAGATATGTTCATTTAATAAGTGGTAATTGGGATGACGATAAGGAATTGAGTTATATAAAAATATATAAAATTACAAAACTAACCCATTTAATTCTTGTACTGCTGCACTTGATGGTAGAAGTCCATCATTTGAAGTCTTTTGCTAATGTCTTGATACTTAATATGTCTAACTTTTAATTGGATAACTATTGAAAGTATCTAATAGCCAGGACACAGGGATGCATGGGTGGCTCAGTCCATTGAGTGTCTGCCTTTGGCTCAGGTCATGATCCCAGGGTCTTGGTCCCTGGGGAGCCTGCTTCTCCCTCTGCCTGCCACTTCCCCTGCTTGTGCGCTTTCTCTCTGACAAATGAATAAATAAAATCTTAAAAAAAAAAAAAAAAGGAAACAAACTTAAGGGTTGCTGGAGTGGAGTGGAGTGGGAGGGATTGGCGTGGTCGGGTGATGGACATCGAGGAGGGTATATGCTATGGTGAGTGCTGTGAATTGTGTAAGACTGATGATTCACAGACCTGTACCTCTGAAACAATACATTATATGTTAATAAAATATTAAAAGTATCTAATAGACCATCAAGTATTATGTAAATGAGTTTTTTCCTAAATAAAAATAAATCTTGTCATTACTTTTAGCTTCATTATGTATTTCAGAACCAAACTATTTATCAGTTCATATCCGTTGTATTTTAAAGAATTGCATTTTGGGGCTCCTGGGTGGCTCAGTCAGTTAAGTGTCTGCCTTGGCTCAGGTCATGATCTCAGGGTCCTGGGATCCAGTCACATCTTGGGTTCCCTGCCCAGTGGGGAGCCTGCTTCTCCCTCTCCTCCCTTCTTGTGTTCTCTCTCACTATCTCTGTCTCTCTCTCAAATAAATATTAAAAAAATAAAGAATTGCATCTTCATGGTAGAAAAGTTGGGATACAGAAAAGTAAAAACTATAAAATTCTCATAAATCCACTACTTCAGTACATACCTGTCCAAACCTCTTTTTTTTTTTTTTTCTGTGCATGTGGCTTTTTATATACAATTTTTGGTAACAAGTATGAGCTCTGCTATATATGATCATTTTGTAACTTTTTGGTTTTGGCCTCACATGTTACAATGAATCCATATCTATATTGTCAGTTACAATAGTTTTAATAAATGAATAAGATTCCATTTTATATGTGTGTGATAATTTAAACATTAATTTTTGTCAGACATTAGTTTGTTTCCTTTTCCCCCTCACTGTTATACCTCTGCAGTGACTGTTTTCCTATATATACCTCCGTGTATGCTTGTGAAATGCTTTTTCTGTAGGATAAGTTTCTAGAAGTGGATTTGCAGGATCAAGGTACAGTACATGCTACGTTTGAGATTTGTGATACATAGTGCCATTTAGAAAGGTTGTAGCAGTTCACATCCCTACCGTCCTGGTTGAGGGTTCTGTTTTCTTCTTTTTTTGGAATGACTTAACCAGTGACAAACTAGTGAATTACTA